ACTATAATAAACGTGTTACATCACCTCAAACTACTATAATAAAAATGAAACAAGATTAAATAGAAACTTACAATAACCACAACATAAATTATAACACAATTCAGTTCTATATATATTTAATAAAATATGTTATATCTCTAATCAAAAATACATTTGACAAATCAATTCCCGCCCTTTAGGGCGGGTCATAATCTAGTTCATGTTTATTATATACTAGGAGTACTATGACAAAAAAAAACTATCTATAATTGAACAAGTAACATCCAAAAATGAATAAGTAAAGAACAAAAAGATGGATTCATGTGAGGGAAAAGTGTAAAGAAGGGTATGTACAATTTGTTATTACATGTGTGTATGTTAAACTTGTATGCTAATGCTAATATATGTGTATATAAATAATTAACTGGATATAGATCTAGAATAAGGAATCCGAATAATGACAGAAAAGTTGATTATGATGATGAGAAAAGCTGAGAAGTGATGCTGGGGTTGGCCCATCAATGCCTCAAAGGATTTCTTCACATGATCACAAGTTGGACCCACATGATCTACCATGTGAATCCCCCAACTTGTTCTTCTCTTTTAACCTTTCAAATTTTATATATGGTGTGTCAAAATATTCAGTCCATGTCTCATGTCTGATCATATTATATGAGCGTTTGTAACTTTGTATATATCAGTATCATGTGTTTCATTCTGGTTTAGATGTTACATGCTCATGAACGAACGAGTTCGCGTCTCATTATCATCTTGTGTGATTCATAATGTCATAGTGAAACGATGAATATAGTGTGTACAGTTAAGGACATGTGAAGTTTTCAAAACTAGAAAACGCAAAATAACTTATGATATCACATAGGTGCATCGATTAGGAGTAAACAAACAATAAAAACTTGAAAACTAAATAATTCGTGGCAAACAGTGAGGAATGCGTTGTGACTTGCAACTGGCAAATGAGTGAATGCGCCAAACTTTATCAAGTAGTCAAGAGATTTCTAGAGAAAGGCCAAACTAGACACGAATAACTAATATAATCAATGATGTGAGATCAGAGCTAACGTTTAAAAAACTAAATTGCGATATGTACATGCTTATGTCACATGTGAATGAACAAATTTTCTATGGACATGATCTCTATGAAGTACGCAACGAACATAATTGAACTAACTAATACATGATTTTTTAAACTAGTTCAAAAGAGATGTTGCTCCACTTTGGGATTAGCTAAGGATTCGGTCTGGGATCGTAATTGAAAGAATAGCTGTGATTGAGATGGTATATTGATCAGCGGCAATCACGAAGTGACTAAAGGTTTCACAAGTGGGATATTACAAATGAGACAGTTTATTTTAGGTAGAAGCGCCGCCAAACAAAAAGATCTGAAACCAGATTCTATTGGTTAACCCAATATTCGTTTCCCCATGCACCCAATGATGTCTCGCCACGTGTACACATTCCAAACCGACAACGCTTGGAGAAGGATGGAATACTTGAGGAGACCTCTTAGATGAAGAAATACGTTTTTGCATTATGCGATTTTAATTATGTTTATGTATAGCTTTATACAGAAACTATATATTCGAAAATCAAATGGTATCCCAAAACCAAGTCACATTGGAAAATATGTTCAAACTCCACAAAAATTATAATGGATCATTTCTTTATGTAATACTATGATGTATCGGTCTATTGTGAATAAATAACAAAAGCTTTCTTAATATATTTAAACCTGTCTACTAAACTTGAAGATAACGATGTTGAGAATCAGAATCTGTGTAAGAGAAAACAAAAAGAGATTAAAAAAAAAAGATGGGACCAATTGGGTATTTTCTTTATAATTTTATATTGTTAATTCATATTTTTATTCCAAAGGTGTCATCCTCTCCCTTTGATTATTCACTTTTCTGCCATTTTATTTGAAAATCTGTCTTTCTCCTCTTCGTTTATAAACCTACACCGTTCAAGCCCTCAACAACACAAAACATTTGTCTTCTCTCTATTTTCTCTCTCTCGAGTTTCGTATTATTTTATCTCCCCTATAATATCCATTACTCAGTTACACCTTTTCTATACATATAATACGATCGGTCATCTTATAGTTTTTTTTTCGTAACAAGACCGTTCGTCGAGTCTTGTCTTCCGATATTGAATCCAGGCTTCAGTATCGTCGAAGAGTCTATACATGGCTCCAGTCTCGTTGCCTCCTGGTTTCAGGTTCCATCCAACGGACGAAGAACTAATCACATACTATCTCAAAAGAAAGATCAACGGTCGAGAGATTGAGCTAGAGATTATCCCTGAAGTAGACCTTTACAAATGCGAACCATGGGACTTGCCAGGTAATAATTATTAGAACATTAGTGACTAACCACAAATTAATATATATGATTTGGTACAAGATCCTTTTCTCGACTAAAAGCTCAATAGGGCTCGAACCCTACGTTCAAGACATAGAGTGAAGAAAAGGATAAGAATATTACGAGGACAAGAAACCCATAATATTTATAGGTTAACCATGATCAAAACAGATACATGCCTTATCTAACTCCTATTCTATCCTATTTATAACATCTGATGTTAAACTAATATTAAATTTGATGTGAAATTAAGACCTACTGCAATTGGCAATCTCTTTTGCAATTTATAAGTATAGGTTCCATCAGAGTTTTGTTTGTTTTTCAGTTAGGAAAATAATAAGTAAAATACAATGAATTTAAGTACGCATGGTTTGAGAATTAGTTTTCATCATCCCTTGTTAAAAAAAAAAAAAAAAACATCTTCAAATACTCGTACCTTTCGGATCTTAAAGATAACAAAACTATTTCACAAGTTTAAACATCGGCTACTGATAGTAATACTATTTTAAGATCAGTCTGGATTGGATATAGCCTTTTGGCTTATCTAAAAATTCATCGAGCTTAGATGCAAACAAATAAATGTTAAACACAAAGTCACAGTAATTACAGTAGTATTGATTAGACAAGACGCAACCTAATTGTTGGACTCCTTTTGGTCAAAAAAGAAACTCTCATGGAGTCATGGACCACCACACCTTTTGTGTTATAGTTTGCCTTTATCTGTGTGTATTACTTTAGGGTTTTGTATCTTTGGAAGCTGTAAATCTTTTAATTTCAGTTGGATTATCCAAACTTTGTATCTATATAACATATAATAATTGTTGTCGTCATAACTAATCACTGACAAAAATTGGCAGGGAAATCATTGCTTCCAAGCAAAGATCAAGAATGGTACTTCTTCAGTCCACGGGACAGAAAGTACCCCAATGGTTCAAGAACAAACCGGGCAACAAAAGGCGGTTACTGGAAAGCCACCGGCAAAGACCGGCGTGTGAGTTTGAGAGATCAAGCCATAGGAACCAAGAAAACACTAGTTTATTACCGTGGACGCGCCCCACACGGTATTAGAACTGGTTGGGTCATGCATGAATATCGCCTTGATGAAACTGAATGCGAGCCTACTGCATTCGGCATGCAGGTTGACTGATCAATTGATTTATTTTTAAAAAGTCCATTTTTATAATTTATTATTTCCACGCATAACTATTGAAACAAAACTTTAACCGATGTTAACTATGTTTTCAGGATGCATATGCACTTTGCCGCGTTTTTAAGAAGATAATTATTGAAGCGAAACCAAGAGATCAACATCAGCAGCCTTACGTCCACACGAGTTCAAATATAAGTGGTAACTCAAGTTTTGACGTTAGTTCGGATCTTGAGATAAGTTCAAATGGACATCAGATTCCACCTTATAGTAACGCTACCGAGACCCAACCTCGGTTTGGAAACGCAAACACAATGAGTAAGCATGATGAGTGGTCACAATACTTGTCACATGACATGCCTCAAAGATTTTCAAATTACGGATCTCCTTATGGATCATACCTCAATCAATCAAAGGTAACCTTGGTTAATGTAACTATAAAGCAGTACCGGTTTTACACATGTGCTGGCGGTGCTTTTGCACTAGGTCCTTCATTTTTTCAGAAAATTTCTTTAAAGAACTAGGGTCTTGTTTTGGCAAAAACATACATAATTAGGGCCTTAATTTTCAATTTTTAAGAATATAACAACAATTTTAAAAATTGTTCTTTTGAGCACAAGGCCCATTGACCGAATAAGCCGGCCCTGCTATAAAGCTTATATTATATATGGAATGATCAATTGATTATCTTAACATGTTGTATATATAGGTGTATACAGGAACTGAATGTGGAATGTTGCAACATCAAATATCAATGCCACCATTGCACGTAAAGAACTCGCCGGTTCAGACCAGCATTTTCTCCAATGAAATGAATCAAAACAGCGGTCAATGCGGTTTCGATGACTTTACTTTCGCTGCACGTAAGTCCAACCATCTCTATAACAACAACACTGATGATCATTTGATACACATTGGAAATATCGATGAACAAATGCTCAGTGCTGGAAATTCGGCATGGATGAACATGTCCAACGAGAACTTTAAACAGGTAATTAACATCATAATCACTAATGTGAATTCGTCATTTATATTTATGCTATAAGGTTTGAACCTAAGCATGAGTTCACTCTAATATATGTATTTTAAACAGAGTTTTGTAGAAGAAGAAGCCATTTTGCCAAGCTTCGAGGACAATGATCAAGATCTTGAATATTATGGTGGGTATGATATAAGAACTATAACTACACAACTGAGACCATATAGAAATGTTGAGTAGTCAATATCTTATATATTTATTCTAATTATTATAGGCAGATCTCAGACCAATACAATCAACAACATAGAGATCGATGAGTTTTTCTCATTTGAGGACCGAGTAGAAGACACTGATAAGTCAAACATAACTCCAAACTCTCAAGGATCAGGAATGATCGAACAAGAGATTAGAGTAGACCATAAAATGCTCATTTGCACACGTCAAACAACTCAAGTTTTATATCACCAAGTCGTTCCGTCGCAGGTTTTGAAAATTCACATAAATCCTGTTGCAAATAATGAAGAGAGAAGATTGTTTATGGAGGAAGAAGACAAGGATTCTTGGTTCCAGAAAGCTGAATATGTTGCCAAGATGAAACTGAAGCATATTAGTTTAGTTGCAAAACATTATTACAAGTGTCTTACAATTATTTTCTGATATTTTGTTTATCCAATACTATTGTAAAAGAAGAGGGTATACTATATACTATATATATTGTAATCTTGATTGATTATCATTGTGATTGGTAACATATTATTGGGGAGAGAAAACCTTAAGCATAATACAGTATATTGTTTGTGATTTTCTCATACTCTAGCTATGTATTTTGCTTTTCAAGAACTAAAACATATATAAAAGTATTTTCTTTTTATCAAAAAAAGTATTTACACAAAAAACATACAAAGAAAGTAATAATTAAACTAGATAATAATCCACGCTTTCCGCGGAATTTGATTATTAGTTTAATTATTTTGAGTAAAGAGATATTAAATATGTTTAATCAGAATATATGTTCGGTTTAAGACTATTTTTTTGTTTTTAATATCCTAAAATATAATTATCATTCTAAATTAATATTTTATTTTCTTTTTTCAGTTAATATTTTTTTGGTGTTTTTGTTTTATTTTGGTAATAACCAAAAATTATTATTATTTGTTTATTTTCATGTTATGAATTTTAGATAATCGAGATGTCGAATTAATAGCTTCATATTATATTTTCTAAATGGATTATAGTTAAAGAAAAAAAAATTATTAAAGACAAGTCATTTCACTGAAATTTGGTAGGTAGTAAAAGAAGCATTACGAAAAAATAATATTTCAGCTTAAAAAAAATTAGATAGATACTTCAGTTGTGGTGCATACTCAGCTATAAAGTGCTCACATCAAGGTGCACATGTATATGTATGTAAAATATATAAAAATAGTTGATAAATATATAAAGATACTGTTATCTAATATTAAATAACATTTTTGTTCAAAATAACACATGAAAAATAAAAATTTTAAAATAAATAAATTAAAAATAAAATAAACCTAGACATTAGTGAATTTTTTTCATATAAACGAAATAAAATTGTATCCGTAAATATGTGTGGGAAATGATCAAATATCCAAGTATTTGAAGACATTCATGTCAATTCGATCTTTAGCCACCTAGATATTATGTGATTCGGAAATCCAGTTTTTAAGAATTTTAAAGATTATCTAAGTTGATTCATAAATAAAATAAAATTTAAAATAAATAAAAAATCTAATAATAATATTTTATTATAAGCATAAACATTATTTAAAAAAATTATAATACCTAATACAATAAATTTAATACATAAAAATATTGTAAAACATATATAAACTATAATATATACTGTATATATATAATTCTGTACATTTATGTATACATATGCATATAACGAAAAAACTGGATATCTGTTCATAAAAATATTAGCATTTGTGATTTGATTTTTTTTGGATATTATATTTGAGTATTTGATTTACTTCTTAGAGTTATACTTATATATATTTCTGATATTTTTTGGTTCAAATACAAATGGATAACGAATTGAATCTAAATTTATGAATATTTTTCCAAGCTTTATCCGTATACAATAAATAAATAAAAAAAATATATATATATATAAAAATATATAAATAATTTAGTAATCTATTTTGATTCAAACCGAAAAATCTAGAATTTTAATAGGGCATATATGTGAATTTTAAATTAAAAAAATAAAATATATAATATGAACATATTTATGAATATAATATGAATGCGTCATCATATTTATTATCAAGTATTTGTAAAGTTGTCACGTATCCATTATAGTGAATGTTTCTCTTTTAATTTATGAGGGAAGTCTCCGCCACTTACCGAAAGGATACAAATATATGAGGACCAAATAGAAATTTACTTAAACATCAAGAGTCACGTAAATAACACGCGCGCTAGGGTTTGTCGGCATCAGCCTCATTCTCATTGGCAATATAAATAACCTTTTGATTACGCCTCAAAGAATCAACAAACCAGCCGTCGACTTCTCTTACCCTAGAACCTAGCTTAGATCTGTTTCTCTTCTGCTCGTTAGTTCTTCAGTGTTTCTTGCTCGCGTCACTTTAACTGATTACCACCGTTCTTGTCTATGTTCGTTGTGTATGAGTTGACGCTATAGTAATTCCCTATTTCTGCTATTTGTTTTGATTTTATAAGAAGATACCTTTGTGTGTTTTCAATCATCACGAGTTTGCAGTTTAGGGAAAATCTTGTCTCTAACTTATTTTAACTAGACAGCCTAAGATCTGTAATGTCTTGTCTGAAAGTAGTTTTTTTCTGTTAGGTGTGTAGATTAAAGGGAGAGTTGGAGGTGATGACAATTTCCCCAGATGATCGAATCTGATTATACTGAGCGAATAGAATTTTCCTCTCATCAGAGGAAAGTCAAGCCAAATAGTCTGATCCTTCTCCCTTTTTATCTTGTTTTGAATTGGATTAGATTTATTGATAAGTTTGTTAGTTAATATTCTAAGATTAATGTGTTTCATCAGGTTTTAGAATATTTAATGAAGGAGAATTGGAGATGATGACAATTTCCCCAGATGATCGAATTTGATTATACTGAGCGATTTTATATTTCCTCTTCATCAAGAGGAAGTCAAGCCTATTTTCTGATCCTTTCTCTGAATTTTATTGAAGTTTTGGATTTTTTTCGTAAGAATGTGTTTATAATTGGCTTCTGAATTAATTTATGGTAATGGAGAATGGAGGTGATGACAATTTCCCCAAATGATCGAATATGATTATACTAAGCGATTATTATTTCCTCCCATCAGAGGAAATCAAGCCAATGTTCTGATCCTTCTCCTTAATTTTTTAGTAAACTTTGATTTCCCTAAATGTTCCATTTTACATGCTGGAGTACAGTTTATTTGTATGGTAAATTATAAAATTTTCTTGGAGGTTGTAGATTAATTTAAACATGTTATTGGTTCTTTACTGCTAAATGAGAGTTCGAGGTGATGACAATTTCCCCAAATGATCGAATCTGATTATACTGAGCGATTATTATTTCCTCTCATCAGAGGAAGTCAAGCCAATGTTCTGATCCTTCTCTTTAAATTTTATCAAAAGTTATTTTATACCATGTGGCCTTTTCTCGATGATTATAGTAGTATTTACGGATTGGATTTGGTTAATGCCCGTAATTATTTGAACCTGAAATGAAATAACTAGATTTGAGCATAAGAAAAGTACCTTGACCCCAACTTCCACCTAGCTATTCTCAATAGCGTTTCATATACATTGGGATTGCTGGTTAACAATATACATTGTGTTGATTGCTGGTTAACAATACGCATTGTGTTTCCACCGAATAGGGTTCAGTTCTTTTTGAGCTGCAGAAGATTTGGTACGCAATTGCTGGCAAGTTTCATGGATTTGAGTTGTGGCTTTATGATATTACTGGCGGTTAACAAACAATGCCCTGAGTGAGAGCCTAATGACAGGCAACTTAAACCCGCATCAACTTAATCCCACAATGGGGCAGCTTACAATCACAACATAAACAAGACACGGAATCAGAAAACAGCAACCATATGATAGTTCAGTATGCAATAAACCTCCTAAATAGCAGAAAGTAGTGAACTGGATATATCTATTGTCCTCAGCATCCCAAATAATACCCACTTATAGAATCGAAAACACCACGTCTTCTCAATCCGGATTTATCGTTGTTGTCTATGGCTTGCCAAACGATATCATCCCTCACTCAAACCTAAGAACTAGGACTTCACAACTCGACAAGAAGGATCGCTTCACAATCTATACCAGCATTCTTCACGATCTGTCTCTCTCTAATTACTTTTTTTTAAAACTAAATACTATTTCACCGTAATTGTCAACATGTTTTGCTCTGAAGAGTCGCAAACCTTAAGAAAATCGGAATCAAAATAAACTAAATTTAAGTAACAATAATCATACAAACCTAACTAAGTAGATTATAAATTTTATATTTGTTCATAAACTTGGAATAATTCTCAAACCGGGCGGACAAGCCTTAAACCGAGTAGTCTAACACCATATCGTCATGTCTTAAAATATCGAACGCGCGCCTTCGATGTTGATAAAAGTAAAAACGCCGTAAACCTCGATTACTTTTCACCCACTAACCGACGTCGTTTCCTTCTTCACATTCTCATCACCTGCGTTCCTTAAATTTTACCGCCGTCACTGGCGAAACGAACTCGTCGTCGAAACCCCGATCCAGCGATGGAGACGTATCCGAAAAGAAACAACAAATGGATCCCTCTATCCTTCCTCTTGATCCACTCAATCGCCATTCTGATCTTCACTCGCGGCTTCCTCCTCACCAGAACAGAGCTCCCTTTCCACAGCACTTGCCCCGACGCCTCACTCTCCCCTTGCCTCCCTCACAACCATAACTCCTCACAAAATCAAAATCATCACAAATGCTGGACCAAACCGGTCGTAAACCGAGTCGTGATCATCGTATTAGACGCTCTCAGAATCGACTTCTTAGCCCCAAGTGCTTTCTTCCCAGGTTGATTTCACTAAAACGAAACGAATCTTTTTTCAAATAATATAAAAATTCACTGATTTTATGTAATTTTTTTGAAACAGAAGCAAAGCCGTGGATGGATAAATTAACAGTCTTGCAGAAACTTGCGTTTAGTAATGAGTCTTCTGCTAAGATCTTTAAGGCTTTTGCTGATCCTCCTACTACCAGTCTACAGCGTCTCAAGGTATAGTACTTTTTTTAGTCTTTGCATTAACTCTTTTTTGTTCAGATTATAATGTGATTCCTCTATTTTTAGGGGTTGACGACGGGAGGGTTGCCTACTTTTGTTGATGTTGGGAATAGTTTTGGTGCTCCGGCTATTTTTGAGGATAATTTTATCAATCAGGTAGGTTTTTATGCTTCTTTCTCTAAATCTATAGTGTTTTTTTTTTTTTTTAAATGTGGTTTTGAATTGGATGTGTTTCCTTCTCTGTTTGCATAGTTAGTGCTAAATGGGAAACGGTTGGTGATGATGGGTGATGATACTTGGACTCAGTTGTTCCCTAATCAGTTTCACAAGTCTTATCCTTTCCCTTCTTTCAATGTTAAAGACCTTGATACTGTGAGTGATTCTCATGATTCTTTCCTTGATAGTAAGCCTTTTTAAAGTGTTAGATTGTGTCGTCTTACTTGTGCTTTTACAGGTTGACAATGGATGCATTGAGCATTTATTACCAACTCTTTACAAAGATGATTGGGATGTTCTAATTGCGCATTTTCTTG